AGAGAGCTGAGTTTAAAATTTTTATCTCGCATGTGCATAGAAAATATACCTGCAGAGTTTCAGCTTCCTACGTTGTCTGGTTCACGAAATCGTTCCCCGCCAGCACATTTCTTTGGGGGTCCCGCACGCGGGGTCTCGACGCACGTGGGGAAAGATATTAAAACGGGAGAATGACACATGGGGTAGGAACATATATCCAAAGTTTCAGCTTCCTAGCTTTCCTGATTACTGAGATGAAAGTGGGTGACAAAATGCACTCGCTTTCCGAACACACACACAGACAGCCTCTCGACAGTATGCGTTTTTGCTGGCTGTAGCAGCGCTAGCGCTGCACAACAAAAATGCATTAAAAAAAACAGTACCATGACGCAGGCGTGTCTCTGCATGCACGACATAAGTTCAAATCTAGGCTAATGCTGAAATTCGAGAACGAGGAAAACCAGTTGCTGGGAATTCGAGAGAGATGGCTCTCAGGGCCGACGAACGCCACTTTGGCCGGACATTCTTAGCGGAGCGTGACTCTCGGGATTGGGTTATGCAAGGGATGCTGGATGGCACTGGATGTAGGGGAGTGGATTTTGCCGGTGTCCTGGGAGGGCTGGGGTCGAGCTCGCTCGCGGCTTCAGCGATTTCACTTCTAATTGGACCAGTTTTTCAGGTGTAAGCGCGGATGGCGTATGCAGCAGGGCCTGACAAAAGTGTTCTCTTCGTTTGTTTGGGTGAGTGCCGGTTGCTTTCTCATTTCATTTCTCCCTGGACGGTTGTCACACTTATGAGGGCTGCATGGCTGCTTCCCGCGCCACTGGGCTGATTCTGCGATCTTTTTTGCACTCGGTTGCTCATTTCCCATTGCGTTCGTTCAGTAGGTGAAGCATTGCGCGGCCCGCACTGTCTTGAGAATAGCGTTTTTCGGAGTGCGATCAGTGCCACACTTGCTTTCACCTCTACTTCTTTATTGTTCATTGTTCGGTATGGCCGCTGGCTTCGACGGCTGCGATGTTTTGTGGTCCGAAGAACAGTGCCAACAGAGAGGGACGTAACATGCAGGATTTTGTTTGCTTCTGTCACAGCGACGTTTTTGCTAGAGGTGACTGTGCGAGTTACATACGCTGCTTGGTTTGCGTGGGACTCACTGGTTGTGCTCGATGCTCGATGAGCACTTCATAAGTTGTGCTCGATGAGCACTGGCACTGGATTATTACAGTTGCATTGCTCTTTGCAGGTAATATCTGTCGGTCGCCGATGGCTGAAGCCGTGTTCCGGGATCTTATCAAGCAGGAAGGTCTTGCTGCGCAGTGGAACGTGGACAGTGCTGCTATAATTGATTACCACATAGGTAAACATCCAGACAAGAGGACAGTAACGACGCTGATCCGTCATGGC